TTATTTTATTTTTTTTAAACTTGAAGTCCTTCTTCTGGCCTACTGAGTACTTTGTTACTTGCTTGAAGTGAACCAGTTTCAGCAGGAAAGCCTGATCTCTGTTTGCTTCTTTCTGCATCTTTGCTCATAAAAGTCTTGCTTTCAGGGCCTCCTGAGGTCTGTCACTTTTCACCATCTCTCAGGCTGTATTTAGAAATGTGACTGTAGTGTCATGATCCTATGGCACAGACCATTACACAATACGCTTGACAAGTATTGTCCTGATGTAAATCAGAGGTAGCACGAGCTTGGGACTTCTATATCTCGCATCCTATGCCAGAAGTCCCATTACTAGATCCTATGCTACTCTAAGGTAAATGAATCTGTGCCTCTCCTTTCAGTTAGAGGTATGTTGCATTTTGTGTTGGCGAAACTAAAAGCAACCTCAGCTGCCCCAGTGTGGATTGTGCAAGAAGTTTCAGAGGAAAGTTTTGGATATACTATTTTAAAATGAGAAACTGAAGTTAGAAGATGCCCATTGAGCAATAATAGTAAACATCTCTTTTCTTTTAATGAAAGAATACTGGTACTGTGTGTAGGTAATGTGGAGTCAGAGAGTTGTCTAATTCATCAGAGTGAGGAGCTGTGCAGAATCAATATCCAGCTTGAGATATGTAGAGAACAAAAGATTGCACCCTATCCCTATTTTGTGTCCTTCAAGCAGAGAGTTGCTGTTTAAGTGTTCCTTCACTTCAGTGGAATCATAGCTGTTTAGGGGTGTGAAATAGCTGTGAACAAGAAAGGTATGCAATACAAATTATTCTATGCAGAAATCAAATTTAGCTTGTCGCTGCCTTTGCATGTTGTCCTTATACAATTGCTGTTGATGCCGTGCCAAACCAAAACACCTAGAATTGTGTTTTTACACTTCCTCAGTAGCTGAATCTTGCCACTGACTTCAGCTGAAGTAGTTTTGAATTCCTGAATACATTTCAGATGTTAGGGGACCACCAAGTGTTGTGGAAGTGCATCACTGCTCAGGCAGGAGCTTTATGGAGAAGATGGGATGATTTGTGGATGTCATTGCTCCCTGTCTTCTATTCAGGGGACTGTACTTAAAATAAAAAATCCTATCTGTCCTCCTACCTTCTCACCCCCTGACCAAAAAAATACCCACAGATCTTCACACAGCGTTGCACACAGTGCCTGTTGCTATCAGACATGGCTGCTACAGGGTGAAAGAAAACGGAAAATAACAAAAGTAACCCCCATTACTGGAATAGACTTTGAGTTAACACCATCCACGTATCAAAAAAGCAGACCTCTAACATCTTCCACAGAAGCAAGGATTTGTATGGTTAAATCTGATGGAAGTATTTAATGAGCAAGATCACTGGCCTAAAACAGCAGAAAGAGTGGAAAATCTCACAGTGAGGAACAAAGCTGCAAAATAAATCAAGATTTGATGAAGAATAAAACCAGCAGTGAATTGTAGAGGAAAAATAATGAAAGCAAAGTAAGAGTGAGGAGAGGAAGTTCACAGGAGTTGTAAAGAAGGGGGTTCCTTTAAACTTTAGGCAAGAAATTAACTTCTTAATGCAAATGGAAACAAATCCAGGGATCACTATAGATGGTGCCCAGAAAGCTCTCTGTGCCCTGCCAACAAATTCGTAACATGAAAAAGGTGCTCTTCAAAAGGGATAAGATTCTGAAGAAGGCTGTAGACTTTTTGGGGAGGAGGAGGTGAAGCAGCTGGTTTTCAGTATCTATCACTGGCTGCTTTAAGGGAAAAGGAAGAAGTGATCAGCACTGAGGCCTGCTTTAGAACAGTAAATGCAAAGTACAGGGTTTTCCTTTCAAATACCTTTTCATGTATCAAAGATGCATCATAAAAATGAAGAGACTAAATCCATGAAGAAGTGATTACGGTTGGAGAACAGTTTAGAAATACAACCTGAGTCTTATGTAAAACTGGATGCGCACCATCGATATCAGATGGCAAACTCTTGTGGCCAACATAAAAATGAAATTAAAGGACAGGGGCAAGACAGCAAATATGTCAAAATGTGAGTATTCAAGAGGATTTGATTAGCAGTTAAAAATAACATGAAGGAAAGAGTAAGAAATGGAAGGTGGAACATCACTGAAAATAATAAAGTGTACTTAAACTCCTGGAAATAGTTATATATATAAAAAAAAAAAGCGTGTCCTGAGGCTGAAAGAAAAACCCAAGGAAAAAGAAGATACAGTTATAGCACAGAAGTGAGCCAGGATGGCAGCCTTTGACAAGTGTATCCCAGGGCCACAGCTTTGCCCGCATCGCCTGTCAAGGACCTTCTGCTGCTCCCCTGAGGAGGGCTTAACAACCCCTCACCAGAAGAGGACCCGGGGAATTAAATTTTTTATACCCTTTCTGCAGTAAGAAATACTTGGGGTTTCAAAAGGGTGACAGGGAGAAGTGATTATGCAGTCAGGAAATGCTGATGAGGAAATAAGTTCTGGCTAATTGAGACTTCTGTAGGCAATTTTAGGGCTGTAATATATAATAGGAAACGCTTTGGGACACAAAAAAATAATGAAATAACAGTACATTGAGGCCTAGAAGTAAGCTAGATTTTTAATGTCTGCCATAAAGAGTGCAATTAGTTCTAGAATAAAATCCTTATTACTGTATATTCAACAATTTATAACTATTTGCAATGTCTATGCTGAGAGAATACTTTGAAAATGGGGAAGAATGAAATAACGTTGCTGGAATGGGAGAACCAAGGAAAATTAATTTCAAATGTTTTCTAAAGGCTCTGTTATCCAGTGGACTTGACAAATGATAGTGGTATACCTGCTGTTGTACTGTTACAAGAAAAATCTGTGTGAAAAGCATGGGAACTGATCCATTCCTCTTTGAGTGGGAGAGGGGTGCAGCTATTTTATTGGCTTAATATATTTGTTTGTCTTTATAATGGGTATGCTGTATGGTTTGAGTGTCTCACTATATCAGCTTACTTCTACATCCATGCAGTGATCAAATGGTCTCAACGCTCATCAATGGATCTGATCTGGGGAACAGTTTGCATTCAGGCACCTGATATGAATAGAGGCTGGAGGATCAATTAGAGGCTTATATGATCAATTAAAAGAACAGGAACTAAGGAGCAAGTTTTGGAATATTTGGGAAAGAACGGTAAAAGCCATATAACAAAATGAAATGTATGCTGGCGAGGACTAACAAAGAAGTAAGGGCATCCTTGTCAGAAAGCTTCCTCCCTTCAGAAGTCCAGAATCCAAGATGAACTACATTTAACAAAAGGCTGTTTTGGTGAGCTGGGTTTTAAAGAAAGGAGTGGATATACCTTTAAAAGTCTAAGGTGTGCTAGGTAGCAGTCCATGGTGATTTAAAGGCTGAGTTTTACAAAGGCTTTAAAGAGAGTTTTTACTCCTGTAGTAATAGGCATTTAATGTGATCAAGCCAGGAGGACACGATGCTTCCCCTGGGAAGGATGTGGGGAGAATTGCAACACGTAGAGGGAAGAGAAAGTACCGCAACTATTAGTTGTATTGAGCTGTAAATGGCGAAATGAAAATTTGCACTAAGATATTGGCAGATTGAGAAATGAGCAGAATACAAGTGACTGTATGTTACCAAGTACTTCTAGTCTAATCTGTTAAGGTTGCTGTAGGAAAGTGGACTGAGTTCAGCAAAAGGAATGTCTGAAATGACTGTATGGTATTGCAAAACAACACTTCTCTGCACACCCAAAAAATTGTTTGATCAAATAGAAGGGAATATATGGAAGGTGTGTTGGTTTTTGTTTTTGTTTTTTTTTTTAAAAAAAGGCTTGGGGGAATAAGTTACAGTTTTCCATTTTATGCAAGAACTCTGTAACCTTGGAAAAGTGAATCAATCTTACCACAGATTGATTTACTTGAAAAGAATTATGTAAAAGAACATGTACCAAAGTATGCATCCTTGTTAATGTGCTTTGTGTTAGCTCAGGTTTTGCCCTGAAAGTCAGTGAATATAAATGTGGTGAGGCAAAAATGAGGCTAATTATGCATCAAAAAGCAGAATCTGTAGTGTTGACTTTTAAATAGGAGCTACTCAAATTGATGACAATAATAAACAACCATATGTTCTCCTACTTCAGTAAGGCAGTATCTGCAATACTAACCTTGTGCCCTATTGAACACGACCTGGCACAGCCTGGGTGTCCTGGTAGACAAGAAGCTGGACATGAGCCAGCAGTGTGTGCTTGCAGCCCAGAAGGCCAACTGTGTCCTGGGCTGCATTAAAAAAGGGTGGCCAGCAGGGAGAGGGAGGTGATTGTCCCTCTCTACTCAGCTCTTATGAGGTCCCATCTGCAGCACTGCGTCCAGACCTGGGGCTCCCAGTACAGGAAGGATGTGGAGCTCTTGGAGCAGGTCCAGAGGAGGGCACTAAGATGATCAGAGGGCTGGAGCACCTCTCCTGTGAGGAAAGATTGAAGGAACTGAGATTGTTTAGCTTGGAGAAGAGAAGGCTCCAGAGGGACCTCATTGTGGCCTTCAGTACTTGAAGGGAGCTTATGAACAGGAGGGGGAACGGCTGTTTACAAGGGTGGACAGTGACAGGACAAGGGGGAATGGTTTTAAACTGAGATAGGGGAGGTTTAGGTTAGATATTAGGAGGAAGTTTTTCACACAGAGGGTGGTGAAGCACTGGAACAGGTTGCCCAAGGAGGTTGTGGATGCCCCATCCCTGGAGGCATTCAGGGCCAGGCTGGATGTGGCTCTGGGCAGCCTGGTGGTTGGTGACCCTGCACGTAGCAGGGGGTTGGAACTAGATGATCACTGTGGTCCTTTTCCACCCAGGCCATTTTGTGATTCTGTGCTATGCTGCTGGCTGTCAAACCAGTGTCCTCGGGTGCTGGAATATTGCTGTGCATGACATCGCTGGCTGCTCCAGCAGCAGGGAAGGAGGTGGGTTAGGCCAGGCTGCATTTCTCTTGCACTTTCGTGACTTATGACTCTCCCTTTTCTTCTAGGAAAGGCCATGGAAAGGGCCATAGCAGATCCAAGGATGCAGAGATTTTGTGTGTGTTGCTGCTGGACCTGAAGGAAATGGCAGAGGGGAAGGACTTTTCCAGGGGATTAGTTGCTCTGTGTCCCAGCTGAAGGAAAAGAGGGACGGAAGTCACCACACACTCCTGTTGCTTGAGGAGACACTTGGCCAGTCCACCACCTCTGGATTTCCACTGACCTCTTCTCCAGAAGGCGTAAAAATAACAATATTGTTCTTTTGAGGGAGAAATATGATAGAAGACTGAAATAACCTTGTGGCACTTAACTGAATATTGCCCTGATGGAAGCTAAGTGCTGGATGGGACAAATTTCTAGAGACGAGGCAAAGAAGAGAAACAAATACTGAGAAGTAAAGGCTCACATTCCTGACTGCTAAGGTAAGTAAAAGTTCTCTATGCAGTTTGCCTACACTCTTTGATTATTATTGCCATTTTCTTTGCTTTTTTTTTTTTTAAACTACTTTTTTTGCCCTGGGATGCTTATATCATATGAACTGCTTCTTACTACTCCCTTTCAAGACCTGTGTTATCTTCAATTCCATGTAATTTATGTGAACTCTCTTCTGTTTAGCTATCATTGTGGGTTTTTTGGTATTTTATTCTCCTAATGAGTTTTTTTAATGTCAGCTCGCATTTCTTCTTTGCACCCTACAGAATGTTTCCTCTTGCAGTCTAACAGATCTTGCTTAGGAAGGTAACAATACATAGCAGTGGTGAATGATAGCAAAATGCAGTTAGCTGCAATTATCCTGGGCAGTGCTAAAGCCTTGGGACTGGTCTATATTTGCAGACAAGCAGCTGAAGTACCAACTAGTCATACCCTTTAGAAAATGATTGTGCACTATTGAGCAAAACCTATATAGGAGCCTGGCGATGTGGGACGGGTTCTTGGAATAGTTTCCTGTGGAAAAATTGATTGCTGGTGCACACTGTCTTCCATCCCAAGTATCCATGGCAATATAAAATAAGTTGTAGGTTTAGTATGGAGAGAGAAGTTGAGGCTGGAGTGAAGAGAGTTTAAACAGAAAACCCACATTTGAAAATGCTGTATATGTAAAACAACTCATTTTTCACTCATTTCTATTGTAGAGGCTGCTGTTTTTTAGTTTGACTTCTTATTATTTGCTTTTATAATAACCTATATATTTACAAAGGATCAGTCCACATACAAGCCTTGTTTAATGTCCATTTGCTACCATTTGCACCACATTTACAAAGGGAATGTGAAAACAAATGTGAGCCCTGTGGAAAGCCTCACTGAGCCTGTGTGTGATTGCAACCGTATGTAACAGCTCATAAATGGTGTCGGCTAGAGACCAGGCTTAAGTACTACAGCACAGGAGCTTGTCATTTCCTTAACCAGATTGCAGCATCTGTATTTCCCTTGCCCTTTTCCTGGTGCTGTTAAGCCAGAGGATTCTTTCTAGAGCAGTCATCTTAAAAGCCAAATAGCTCCTTTGGAACAGTTCATAATGCTGTCATCTTGAAAATATGTCATTGTGCTGGAGAACACTCTTTAAGAGCTGCAGTGTTGCTGGCTAGCGTACTACACTGAGATACAGAGGAAAATCAAAAGCAATCTCCACCGCGATTGCTGTCATAAATGCAGAAGTTCAGCAAATAAATTGTGATGTCCTTAACCAGCATGCTGAAACTTGCCACATCCCAGTCTGCCTGCATCTCCACAAACGTTCATTAGCTGTGTCGGCCCCTGCAGCTGGTATGTGCCACTGAAGATAATACTATCATTTTCACACATGTGGGTAAATACAAAGTAGGGCAGTGTGCCTGTGCTCATGATCAAGCTATAGTCTCAAGGCTGAAGCCCTTTCTTCCATTTAGAGACAGGAGCCTTGGATCTGAGGCATCGGTCAAATGGCAAACATGAACTTGAGAACACAAATGTCAGAAATAGCCTTCCATATAAACAACATTGGTCCTATTTGGAAGTAACCATTCCTTCTTTTATTTTTTTAAAGTCTCAACATGGTTCATGAAACCTGAGTACAAGAAGACACTCATAGCTGAGCAGTGTTGACCCACTGCAAGTGCCAAAAATGAGCAGTTATGTACGTCTTCCTCACTAGAAACAATCATCTGGGAGACTGAAAATGAAGTCAAGAGAACACCTAGCACATTTAAATTGTACCTTCATTCTCTGGTACACTGTTTAACAATGTTGCTTGTGTCATTCGTTGTGTGCATTTTCTTTACTACTTGTATGATGCATACAAAACATACCCAAAGCACTTGAAGTGTATGAAGGAACTGCTATTAACCCCATTGGAGAGATTCTTGAGATCTTGGGTGAAAAACAAATTTACTCAGTGAAGTTAGGGATAATAAGCACAACAGTGGCTTTACTCTAAACAAATGTGCTGTGATAATCAGTAGCTGTCATGCCTGAGACCATCATATGGTGATTGACTCCCAGTTTAGTGACAGATGCTTGCAATTTTATCAGGAATCTTTCCTTTGAGCAACTTGCAACATTTTCATGTAATTCTTTTCTTGTATCCACAGAAGAAATACAAGATCAGTTTTGTGATTTTTATGTCTGCGTATAAACTGTTTTGCAGCCTTCTATATTGGAGTCTATTTTCCATTCAGGAATTTCAGTAGGTCCAGTCCTGACAAAGAATGCAGGCACATTTACCACTGTCTTCAATTCTAAAATGTGATTTAGTGATTATAAGCCCTGAAGAAAAATAAATGTATTTTAAATAAATTATTATACATTCATTTAAATAAATATATTTCTAGTTATAGAATTAAGCAGGGAAACTCCCCTTATTTACCAGTTCTGTTCACAGATGAGCATGTAGAATAATCACTAATTGACTGCTATGCACAGAAAGAGGATAATAATACACATAAATTTCCACTATTTGCGTAAGGTCTTTCACTTAAAAGTCTCTAATATGGCTATGAGAAGTCAATTATTTCATTTTCATTCTACTGGTTGAATTGTTTTTTTGGTTTTTCTTTTTGATTCTTACTGCTCTGATTGTTTTTCATCTATCACGTAGTGATTTGGAACCTGGTGAAGTCTGAATTTTGCTGTTTGCTTTTCTGCAATTTATAGTTTCTGACACTTCATAAAGGTTGTATCTTCACTTCTTTCAGTGATTAGGATGAAAAATATGGCAAGTAGACTGCCTATGTGTATTATGCTGTCTGCTGAATAGCAAGTTTCTTGTGTTGCATTCCAGTTCTCTCTAAAATCAAGATGCTGAGGTACATTAAAATACTTGTGGGTGGGGGAATCGTGCAGAGACTGGCTGAACTTCTTCGAACTTCAATTTAATGGTGTGTTGAGGTTAACGTAAAGGGTTGGGCTACTTCTCGTATTATTTAGACAAACTTGCTTGTTTTTAATACAGCTCTCAAAGCAGATGATTTTGCATCACATGATGACTATCTAAAATGATTTCAGGATGTCAGAATTCTTAATTCTGTATGAAAGCAGACAGACATATGTGCTTGATGTTTTGAAGTGTGATTTTTTTTTAAAAACAATTTCATTTGAAAGTGGGACGCTACTTTTTCAAAGGATGAATTAATTTATAATTGGAAAGATAATATTTCATGAGCCAAATTGATGTCAAGCATAGGATTGCAGATCCAAGAGCCACGAGTCAGAGACAGAACAGATAATGCTGGGATATGAGATAATAGAACTGGAACAGATGTATGGCACCCTATGGGAGAAAATCACCCATTTGTAGCCAAAGTAGCACATGCATTTAAACTCTTTCTTGCTTTTCTTTTTCTTCTGCATTTTGATTACTCAACTCAGTTTCAAAACAGCCCTTAGCTCCTGCTTGACTAAAAGAAGATAGAAGGTATGATAACATTTTATCAAAGACAGAGTTGTAACCACAGTGAGCAGATGTGAGAGATTGATGTTAGAAATTGTAGCTTAGAAGTTGTAAGTATCTCCCAAGTTGAAAAGCAAGCAGACAAAGAGTTGTCACTGAAGAGAACTTGATAATATTTTTGCTTCATCACTGTGGTCAGTGGGACCTTTTAACTACTTTCTTTTAGACTATGGACAGTGTTCTGAATTTTAAATGGCACCTGCTTTGCATAGATATGGATGCAGGTTAGAATGTTATTTGGTAAAATGAAAAGTTTTGCAGTTTTCATGATAAATTCTACTGTTCCTTCTTCATGTTATAATGTTAAAGTTAGCAAATACAGGACCTACTCCAGCAAATATTTACTTGTGCAAGCAGCTTGACATAGGTGACCGTGTTCAGCTCTCACCCACTTAGATCTGCTGATATTCAGTTTAATCAATTAAACAAGGAAATTGGAAAATTTCTTCAAGCTATGTACTTTTTAGGTGGGAAAATGCAGGAGACAAAAGATGTGCTTTCTCCTCACAAAAAATAAAAAGGAAAAGCAACATAGTTGCTCCTCAGAAGTCATATTCATAGCTGTATTAACAAGATTTGAGACAACTACCACATGTTTAATATCTTGAGAAATCTAAGCACAATCTTCCTGCTTTTTCTGCCAGGGAGAGTGTTAGAACAGGAACCATGTACATAGCTTTCCATTTTAAACCTAATTTCCATTCTCTTTGTTTATGGTTAAGGTCACACACTGTGGCATTCATAGAAATAGTGAAATTACATTAATTTGTAAATCCAGATGCTTCAGTTTCAGGATGAGTTTTTCCTAGTTTTCTTCACTGTTGTCACCTCCTTCATTTGCAGTAGATACTTATCTCCTCTTCCTAGTTCCCTCTACCTATGCTCCAGATCACACAAATTAACTGTGAACAGTAGTGAGTGAGGACAAGGAGGTCACACCATCCAAATGTCCCATCATCAGTAGCAGTTATCTTGAGAGAATAACGTGCTTTTGGACTGAATGCATTCAGCCTACCTAAGAATGTCTGGTAGTGCTCTCCAGAGCAATGGCTTGAAAAAAGCCTCTAACCAGCTTTGGGGGTAAAAAGACGGAAGAAAGGAAACAATATTGGAATGGTGCTAGCAAATGAAAGAAATTGCTTGCAAAGCTGACTAGATATGGAGACAAATAAAGGACCAAATATAGATTGAAAGGTCTTTAGAGTATGAAAGAGGAAGAAAAAGGAGGAGGGGAGGGGTGTGGGGGAAGCAATGGCACCAACAGAAGAGGAAAGACAGTTATAATGCAGAAATAGCTGTGTATGAATTTTCAGCCAAATATGCCAGGAGTGAATGTTAAAGCTATACAGAGTGTATAAACTGTGTGTGAACTTCTGAAAATTATACAGAAGAGATATTGAAGTCTTGCTTTACATAGTGATGGGAAAAGCCCTAGAGTAAGCAGGCAAATATTCTAATCAGCATTGCAGCACATACTTGAAAAGGAGGGAGAGTTTA